CTAGCTTTCAAGAAACAACAAAAACCAACAAAACCTAGATGTTTGTGGACATGGTAGCATGCTTGTAATTCTAGCAGCATTCAGAAGGATCAGTGGGGCCAGCTGGGCTACATGGTGAGTTCAAGACCTGCCTCAACTATGAAGCAAGACCCTGTCCTGTTTCAAAACAATACAAAAACAAAATAAAGAAAAAAAGTTTAATTCATGCCTGACATGGTGGTGCATTGTTGTAATCCCAGTAATTTGGGAGGCCGAGGCAGGGGAATTGCAAGTTGAAGGCCTATCGAGAGCCTCAATTTTGTGAGGCTCTGTCTCAAAATTAAAAATAAAGATTAAGGATATATAGAGCTCAGTGGTTGAGTGCTTGCATAGCATGCACAAAGCTGGGGTTAGTCCTCAGTACTGCAAAAATAAATAACCAACCAAGCACAAAAGCTATTTTTTTTTAACAACTAGAAATACATACAAGAATTAGATATCATAGAATGTTTTGAAACAGTGGCTTTCAGTCTATCACGCTGGGCCTGTGATGCCAGCACTTGGAACAGAACAGCAACAAAAAGTTCTTATCAGCATTATCACTTTACAAGCAAAATGGTATGATATAAAGGAAGAATCTATTTAAAAATACTCCAGCCAGGTATATACATAGAATGGTATATTATTACATTTAAAAGGAATGAAAGTCTAGGATAGTATGTGAACTTTGAAAAATTACACTAATAAGCCAGACACAAAAAAACAAACACTGCATAATTTCGCTTACTGAACTATCTAAGGACAGAAAACCAGACAGAAAGTAAAAGAGGTTATAGAGGATGGAAGAGGGAAGAATGAGGGGTTCACATTACCAGAGTGTACAAAGCTACTGCTTGGAATGATAAAGATGTGGAGACGGACGGTGGTGACAGCTGCACAATACTGTCAATGTGTTTAGTGCCAATGAATGGTACACTTAAAATCTGTTAAAATAGTAAGTTCTATTTTATTTATTTATTGGCTTTTTGAGCCAAGGTCTCGCTATACCGTTCCGACTGGCCTTGAACTCACTCTGTAGTCCAGGGTGGTCTCAAACTCATAGCAATCCTCCTCCTGCCTCAGCCTCCTGAGTGCTGGGATTATAGCATGGGGCTATCATATTGCCCATGCTGCGGATATTTTTATCAACATTAATATGCTAGCCAAAACAAAAGTGCAGGATAGGTGTAGCAGATGGTACGGAATTCCTCAGAGGAGAAACTGGATGAAATACACGTGCAGGTTGAGTCACACACATGTATCCAGGTGTGGTGCTATGCCTGTAATCCTAGATCTTGAGGCAGAGGCTGGAGGGTTGCTGGGAGTCAAGGCCAGACTGAACTAGAGAATGAGATCCTGTCACAAAAAAGCAAAACAAAACAACAACAAACAGCACATGTGTCTAAGTGTTGAGTCAATGTCTGTAAACCCAGATGAGGCAAGATCACCAGATCAAGCCCAAAGTGGGGGGCCACTTGGCGCTGATACCCAAGGCCACCTCTAACCAACGGCTTCTTTGGCTCAAAAGACTGGGGAGGGCCGAATCACCCCAAACTGCCTTACATACCACAGCTGACCCATCGCTGTCCCTGGCCCTGACCCCTAGCGCTGTCTTCTCACCCTGCTCTGCCCTGCCCTGCCCTGCCCAGCGCTGCCCAGCCCTGTCACACCTTTGGTCTGCGGATGGCCCCTCATTGGGAGGCCGCAGGCAGAGCCACAGTGCAGCTCCAGCCTAGGGAAGGGGCCGAATCCCTCCCCTGGGTTAGGAAGGCTCTCACCGCCTGGGGACAGCCCAAAGACTTGGGGGGCACTCATTCACTAGAAGTCGGCTCATGGCTTCTCAGCTGCCAAACCGCGGAGAAGGGGTTGCTCCCGTGCTCTCCGTCCAGCTTCGACACGGCATGATCCCCCCCCCGCCCCGCCCGGCCCGGCCCGCGGGAGGAGGCTCCCGGTCACCCCTGGCCGCAGTGCGGACTGTGCGGGCGGAGCAGGAGACCAGAGGGCGACTCAGCGGGTGCCCCGGTGAAGGCAGCAGCCCCGGCCCCTCCGTCGCCGCTTACTCGGTGATGCGCTTGGCCAGTTCCGTGCAGGCGGCCGTGGAGTTGGCTGAGAAGACGCGGTAGCCAGTGCGAGCGGCGTTCATGGCTGGCGGGGCTGCGGGGTGTGCTCGCGGGGCACGGAAGGCGGAGTACGGGTTCAGCGGGGGCAGCAGAAGCAGCTTCTTGGGCATCGTCCGGCCCGAAGCGCGGTGACAGCCGTCCGCCCGGGGCGGGACCCAGGAGCAGCTCTGCACGAGGCGACCGCGAGAACGGGCGTTGGGTTAGGAGACACGCTGGGAAACACACGCAAAGAGCCAAGGGGCGCGAAACCCCAGTCTTCCGCGCCCCAGAATGACGAAGTGCCCGGGCTCCGTCCACACTGGACACGACCCACACCTCACCCTCCTCCGAGCCTGACTGCCGCGAGGCCGCGCCCCCTCCTGGCGTCAGAGGGAAGTCGGCTAGAGTCTCCCCGCAAAGTCGCCATCTCAGGTGAGGGCGAGGAGGTGTGCGACACTGCCGATGCTGTTCTTTCTATGAACGCGTCTCAGATTCTCTCGGTCAATTGCTTTTGTCGCTCCCAGAGGAACTCTTTTGCTCTGACTTTGCGAGTGACGCACACGAGCGTGACAGTAGTCTCAGCCGCTTTCAAATTCTCTGCCAGGACCCAAAATGTCCTACTTCTGGGGAGGTAGACGATCTAGTTTCACATCTCTATGATGACACAGCCCCGGCACCCTCCGAGGCGCATGCGCCAAACTGGGTTTTATTTGAAAAGTGGAGGGCGGGGTTACCTCCAGTTTTTTTGCCTGCAAAATTCAAGCGTCCCAAAATTGGACCACTGAGCCTGATGGTTAAGGCTTTCCCCAGATGCCGGCCTTGTATGTGCATGGAAAGCTGGGTTCCCTGAACGTGTCACACAGTCTTCGCCCTCATTGTTGCTTGAAGTCCCTCTCCATCCCCTTCCATATGCTCTCTTCTCTCAACCATCCTCGACCACTTGCAAGGGCGCATCTGATCGTCTCAAGCCACCCTGACCGCTTCACTGTGCCATGTGTAGAAGTCTTTTTTTTTTTTTTTTTAACTTTTGGATGCAGCACAGTACAAAGGCTCCGTTCATTATCCAGTACCACAATAAAACACCACCAGTGTCTAGTCTAAGCCAAATTATGTAACCATTGTACACATGTCCAGTTAGTATAATTAGAAACAAAGGAGCTGAGTTACTCCCCTCCCACCAACTAAGGCTAAAGGGCACCCAACAATGATTCCTGCTTCTTTATCCTAATGATAGAGGAAAGAACAGGATCTCTATATAAAGGAAATATAAAATTATAAGTCCCAACATGCTAAGTTCATGTTCTCTAAAATCGGAGAATGAATTCTAGGAACAATGGAGGTTAAGAGTAAAAATATTAGGGCTGAGGATTTAGCTCAGTGGTGCAGTGCCTGCCTGCCGAGTGTGAGGTTCTGGGTTTGATTCCTGGTACCACGCCCACAACCCCCAAAAAAGAGAAGAGTAGGAATATTATTTGAGAAGTACTGCTCTGAGAGATAGGAAGGGACTCAAAAGTGGAGTGCCAAGGACTCCACTTTTCAGGGGACGTTTTAGAGCGCAAAAACCACATGGGTGCAATGCGAGTTAAAGCCATGAACAAGAGGTAGGGATGTAGCTCAGCAGCATAAGTGCCTGCATGGCAGGCACAAGGTCCTGAGTTTGATTCCTGGTACAAAAAAAGGGCTATGAACAACTATTAAGGCTGTAAGTGTACTCGCTTAAGTAACAGTGATCTAATGGCAAAACAAGTCATGTAACAAGCGTGTATGAAAGAATAAAGAGCCTTTTAAGAAGTGATGTGCCCGAGTTCTTGTTCAGTTACTGAGGTGACTGATATCTATTGAGACTTCATTAGACCAGGTGTTATAACTTATCTCCAGCCTGGTCTCTCCCTCTTTATTTTGAGGCCTGGCCTCCAACAGCTGTGTCTGTGGTCACAGATGTAAAGAATTTTCATTTTTTGCCCTGATTCTCCTAAGGGCCTGGCCCTATCTGACTGACTATAATTTTTCTGCCCGGGTGGGTACAAAACGAAATAATAAAATCCTAGGAGATGCCCATGCCCTCAGCAGCAGACCATTAGTGCCAAGGGAGATTCAGGCACCTAAAGCCACAGGTTTTTGGCCTTTACATTTTGAAAGCTTAACTTATCAGCCACCTCTTTTCCTATTGTAAAAGAAATTTTAAAACATAATCTGACAGTATACTAAGAGCAGGAAAGTCAGGCCCAGCCCATTTAGACTCAGCTAGCCTTGATATCCCCCACACCAGCTACAATTTATTTTATTTTATTTTATTTATTTTGGTGGCTCCGGGGATGGAACTCATGACCTCGAGCTTGCCAGGTTGGCACTTACGCCACTGAGCTAAATCCCCAACCCCAGCTACAATTTATAAGATAGACAAAACTCAGCCAGAAAGTATATCTTCTTGTGCTAACTTGTTTCAAGGACAGATGAGTTAAATACAATGTTTGATTCCACTCCAATCACCCAAGCCCCCATCTTCCTGCTGTAGGATAAGAAGCCCCCTTTAGCCCAGAATGAGTCTGTCTGACAACATATGACTCAGCCTATATAATCAATTATAAAATAACCCGCTATCAGCCTTTGATACTTCCTGCCTAAAACATATGTAAGTATCTGTTTAACCCCAAGGTGGGGTTGGTGATTTGGAACTCAGTTTCCCCAGCCACTAGCATATAAAGAACTGCCTCCCCAACTCCTTGGTGCCTGCATGTCTTCCATCCAATTTGGTCCTGTTTTTTTTCCACACTATTTTTGCTGCTACCTTTCCTGGGATCTTCAATAAACATAACTACTTAGTACTGGGTGTATGCTTGGCAATTCTTTCCTTCTTGAACACAAGAACCAGGACTAAAGCTGGGCATGGGTGGCTCATGCCTGTAATCCCAGCACTCGGGAGGCTGAGGCAGGAGGATTATTGTGAGTTCGAGACCAGCCTGTGCTGCAAAGTGAGCTCAAGGCCAGCCTGAACTGCATAGCGAGACCCTGTCTCAAAAAAGACCAAAAAAAAAAAAAAAAAAAAAAAAGAACCAGGACTATTACTGACACACTCAGCTGTAACACTAATGGACAGAAACATAAATATGTTACCTTTGAAAACCAAAGAGAGTTGGGGGTGGTGGCACACTCCTGCAATCCCAGCACTTGGGAGGCCAAGACAGAAGGATCATTGTGAGTTTGAGGTCAGCCTGGGCAATACATTGAGTTTAAGGCCAGCTTGGGCTACACATCGAGAGTCTGTCTCAGAAAACAAAACAAATACACAAAGCCAGAAAGAAACCCAAAGAAATCTCAGTATGGTGACACATGCCTGTAATCCCAGCATTTAGGGGGCTTTAGCCTCCTGCTTTAGCAGGAAGACTGCCACCAGTTCAAAGCTTAGACAAGAGGAATTTTTGAGTTCAAGACCAGCATGGCCTACATCATGAGCTCAAGGCCAGTCTCAACTGTACAGTGAGACCCTGTTTCAAAAAAGCCAATAGTCGGATGCGGTGGCACACACATGTAATCCTTAGGAGACTGAGGCAGGAGGATCATCATAATTTCAAAGCCAGCCTGAACTATATACCAAGACCCTGCCTCAAAAAAATTAATAAAAAAAACCAACCAATTAATAAATAAAATAAGAACTGCAACTTCAGGACACAAAGAAGTTTCCCAAGGCTACAATTATTTTGTTTCCAAGTTACTCCTAAGTTAAAAAAAAAAATTAGAAAGCCTGTAATTTTCTCTTGTAAAATGGCCCTATTACCAGTGAATGAACCATCACGTTTCAAATTCCACAGATTTGCTCACCAAATGCTAAATGTACCTCTTCCAGACCATAATCTGGCTTATTCTACAAAAACTACACTCTTCTCTGAGTGTAAACTTTTTCTGCTAAATAAATCTTTTCTGTGCCTCCTACTGACAGGAGCTGAAAATTCTTACGGGATGGGGCTCAGCGAAGTCACCAGATTCTGACACAGTGCCCTCTACTGGCCCTTGAGCTACTTGTGGAGGTAGCTACTACTGTCCTAGTTCCCTTACCAAGTCCTCACCAGCTAGTACAGCGCCTGATATGCAGTAAGCGTTCAGGAAATGTTTGTTGGCTAAGCACTTCTGGGGGCCACTTCCCAACACCAGGCTGAGCTTTTTAACAATGTGGGCATGCTTCTGGCTGGCTGGTGTTTGTGTGCCCAAAATTCATAGGCTGAAGCCCTGTTCCTGGTATACAGTGTTAGGAGGTGAGGTCTATCTTTGGGAGATGGCTGGGACTAGACTAGGTTGGAGGCCCCAAGATGAGACTGGTATCCTTCCTAGAAGAGGAAGAGACATCCAAGCTTTTGTGTCTTTGCCACACAGGGACACAGTAAAATGCTGACTGCTTGTAACGCAGAACCTGACTAAACTGGTTGTCTGATCTGGGACTTCTGGGCCACCTGCATAGTGAGAGATAAATTCCTATTGTTGTACTTAGGCAGAAAGATTGTAAACTAGGGACCAGCCTCCCTATTGAGCAAGACCCTGTCTCAATGACAACAATAAAAAAACAAACAACTTTTGTTCTTTAAACTGCCTATCTAGGATGTTTTGTAGAGGCCCAAACAAAGACAGCCACAGCAAGCTGGCCAGGGCATCACGCCTCCATGTCCTGTCCATCAGCGTTCGCTGTTTGAGGAGTCACTGGCTTATAATCAACAAAGTGGCAAAAGAAGCTGATTGAGAAATTATCTGAGTCATATTTTCCTGCCCTTGTCCTTGAGAGAAAGAGGGCACATGGAGGAACTGAGGGGGAAAGAGGGTGCCCAGGGGAACTGAGGCTTCTCTCATCAGTTTTAATTACTGAATAAAAGCCTAAATTCAGTGGGGAATGATGGCATATGTCCCTAGTCCCAGCATCTGAGAGACTGAGGTAGGAAGATGCCAAATTTAGGCCCAACCTGGGGAATTAAGTGCCATAGCGTGATCCTGACTCAAAATTAAAAATTAAAAAAGGGACTGGTGCTGTAGTTCAGTGCAAAGGTCCTGGGTTCAAATCCTAGTAATATATGCATGTGTGCATGTACACACACACACACACACACACACATACAACACACACACACACAGCCTAAGTTCCAGGACAAAGAACTGGAGGGTCCCTATGTCACCAGCCCTAGAGACAGGTGGTTCTCCCATGGTAGGGACAATACAGTATGCCAGGTAGGGCACTACCCAGTGCCCGGAGTCTTCTAGGACAGGAGAGGTAGGAGGCCAGAGGCCTTTCCTCCAGGCTCTTTTATGTACCAATTTTAGCACATGATGCTTGGAGTCAGATTTTATCTTGCTAAATAAAATTTAGAATGTATGTACTATTGTTGCCCCTGATTGATGTTTT